ATTTATTTTTTAGTATTATAAAAAAGCCCCTTATTATTAATTTAATAGTATCTTAGTAGTAGCTATATAAGTAAAAATCCTATAAAAGGCTAGTTACTTAATCTAATATTATTATTACTAAATAGTATTCTATATAGCCTTATTTAGGATTATAAAAGTCTAGCGCTAGGTAATAACCTAGCGCTATATTTATAATTAGTTTATAAGGCTAGTAGTAAATCTATCTCCTTATTTTACTAAGACTATATAAATTATAGTCTTATAATATTATAGTATTAACTTAGATTAAATATACTTTATAAGTAGTATTTATAATCCTTTATAAAGCCTTAGCACCTAGGTAGCTAAGACGCTTATACTATATTATTATATTACTATAAAGTAGTTATTACTATATTAGTGTTATATATTTATTTCTTACCTATAAGGTTAGTAGGCAATTATTAGTAAAATATATAGTAAAAGCGCTTTTACTTTTTTTACTATAGCTATATTACTTATAATATTTAAGCACTTATTAGTTATCTTATTTCTTAATATAGCCTATAAGGCTATAGTCTATACGCCTTAAGTAATTATTACCTAGGCTTATATCTTACTATATACCTTATTAGTATAGCTTTATAAAAAAAATAAGTAATATAGTAAATACGCTATAATATATTATATTATATATATAAAGCTTAGTTAGTAAGCTATTAGCGCCTTTTAAAATAATCTTTATAGTACTATATCCTTTAATTATAACTTAAGTAGTACTAGCCTAGATATAGTTACTATTAAAGGCTACTACTAATATAATAAACTATAATATATAGTTAAATATATAGTTAGTAGTACCTAAATTAAATAAGGCTAAATTACCTAGCTTATAGCCTTATAAAGTAATATAAAAAGCTACTTTTATATAGTATCTACTATATAGTTAATATAACTTAGCCTTAATTCTTTATACTTATTTAGTAAGGTTAGAATTACTTATAATATACTTATTAACTTATTACTAATATTATATATTTACTTACTAATTACTAGGCCTTTATAACTTATTTATCAAGTAATAAAGTTATAATAAATAAGAATTAAAGTATATAAGGCACTTTACTTTTTTACTTACACTTTATTAATAGTAATATCTCTTATTAGTTAATTTATTCTCTTTTACTATATTTTTACTATATATTAGGTTATTATTATTATTACTTTTACTTAAGCTAAATACACTACAGCCTACTTAGCTATAATATAGTAAGTTATTAGTAAGGGCTTTAACTTTTTCTAGTACTATCTTATAAAAAGACTACTAGTTAAGATTATTTTAATTTCTTATTATTTTACTAATTACTATATATAAATCTAGCTAGGAGCTAAGTAAGCTACTTTATAAAGTAGTAATAAGGTTATTAAACTAAATTAATAGCTATTAGTAGTTAGGTGAATTAACTTATACTAATTTACTATAGACTATATTCTATTTATTAAGCTATATAGTAAGATCTTTTTTAGTAGTTAAGGCCTTTTATTAGGCTTTTACTAACACTTTACTATACTTATTATAGGTATACTTTATATACTCTTTTTTAGTTATTTCTATTATTATACTAAGCTTATTAAGCTATTTAGCTAGTAATTTATTAGATTTATAATATTATTTTTAAAAATCTATAGATATAGTAGATTTAACTATATTAGCTATATCTTTAATATCTTTTTACTAAGTAGTATACTTATATACTTCTTTATAATAGTAGCTTATTTAGCTATTTAAGTATATAAAATTATATAAGTTAAGATTATTTAGTGTTATTATATATTTAGTTTTATATATAAGCCTATTAGGTATAGCTATAATAGCCTTACTTTTTACTATATATAGCTATATAGTTACTTACTAAGATATCTTAGTAATTACTATAGCTATAGTAATCTTTTAGTAAGTAGTAAGCTTATCTTTAGTTAAGGTATATAGATATTATATTATAAGTAGCTTTATTAGTTTCTTTAGATATATCTTAAGGATTAATTAGTTTACTACTATAACCTTTAGGTTAATATACTTCTAGAGATTATAACGCTTTACTTTTACTTAAATAGTATTAAGCTATATAAACTAATTACTATATAATTATAAAATAGTTACCTTATTATTATAGTTCTTATTAATTATTATAATAGTATTTAATAAGTAGATAAGTATATTAGTTATTATAAATATATATATTAGACTATTAATTATTAAATAGTAAGGATTATAATAGTTACTTAATTAATTCTATTATATATTATATAACTATAGTAAATTCCTATAGAAATAGGGAAAAACCCCTATTTCTTAGCTAGGAAATCCCTAGCTAATCCTAGTGATATTATTAGTGAAGTTACCCCTAAAAGTGGGGCTAATTCACCGCCTATTCCCTAACAATTCGCCGTAGGGCAACCGTGCATTCGCCAGCTAATTCACGTGTAATTCCGCCACATTTAACAGTAACAACTACTCTGTATAGCAAACAGGAAATCTCTTTCCTGCATCAGCATGCAATGGTGGGGATGTGCCGAACTTCCCACCTTAGCTTACCCCTTACGTCTATGACCAGGGGTTGCCGTGGAAAAGAAGTGGATACCCAGTAGTTTGCCGACTGGGGTGGGAGAAAAAAAGTTGTGCTCCCTTACAATCAATGTTCCCGGCCGGTATTCTCCATCGTTGCCCAGCGCGCAAAGCCCATCCGTTACCCAAAACACAGAGGACCCCTATGTTAAACACTCTAACGCGCGAACCCTTCCCTCCCATCCTCTCTTTTCACCCACCGCCTTCGCCGATGTCCTTGTTTTCTGATTGTCTTCGGTCCAAACTTTTTTTCGCTGTCACCAAAACTCCTTAATCCCATCACTCACTTTGAATCCATAAGTCGCCGCCAAGATGCCATACAATACTCGTCGCAAATCGTTGTCTCTGCCGTCCCTGGGTATTCACGTTCCAGGCAGCCATCCATCCCGCAGCCCTGCCGCAATCAGTTCCAATCGAAGCATTTCCGAGAATCTAGGAAACCGCATCACAGTTCTATCTACAACAGTATCGCATCCGAACAAGAGACAGAAACGTTCCCATGGAGATGAGGGGTCACGGCAAAGATATGCATCACACAAACTCCCCGACGAACAGGTCATGTTGGACCACACGCCACCGCCATCCCCCTCGCCAGATAACGTCGAGATGCAAGACGCCGCCAGCGACGCCGTATCCACAACAAAGATAGACTTTGCCGGAATCCAAGACGAGATTGTGGAAGCCGTCATTGTGCAATTGCAGATTACTTGTAATCGGCCTCATTTAGTGAGGGAACTGGCCACCGTGCTATCGCAACAAGTTTTTATTGTGAAGAAGTAATACTATTCCACATCCCTCCTTCGTCCCATCGACCTGCTAACTCATTCCAGCTCCGCTAACCCTTGCGCTATCATCTCCTCTCGTCTCGCTGCATATTTGAAGCGCTCTTGCTGGAACGCTCAGGCGCCATGCCCACTGGGCAAGGAGCTTGAGACAGCACACCCACGCCGGACCTACTTTTACCTGACGATCTGTCCAAGACAGCCCTTGCCAGATTCGTCAACTTACGTCCACAGAGCTGTTATTTCACCATCTCTCTCGAGCATCGCGTCTGGATCGGAGGATGGGGACGATATCGACACTCGACGCAGGGAGTTGAGCCCATCCCCGGAAGTTGATTTGTCTTCTCCCGAGTTCGACAACGCAGACGACGACTTCGCAAGGCCAATCACACCTGTTGGGTCACTCCCCAACAATGTTCGGTACTCCAGGAGTCACCGGAGTGCCTCGCCTCCCTTGGAAAAGGATGAGCGTGAGTTCACTCACACAGCCGATGTTCTTCAAAAGCGCAAGCTGGCCCGTGAGCTCTCGTCAGCAGGCAACATGGAGCAGTGCACCAATGCCTATGAATCGGTACGGGACGACGGCATGTTTGACGAAAAACACGGCGCAACAACTAGTAACGGATCTGTTTCTATACATCAGTTCATCACCAGCCCAGCTATCAAGGCAACAGTACCTTCAAGCACCAGAAAGGAAACCGATGGCGACAGTTGGTTCAAACTGGGGAACCTACTAGAGTGGGATCATAGTCCTGAGAACATTGAACTCGACGAGCTTGACTGTTTGCTGGACTCTTGTTAATGGCTGTGATGTTTAACGTGAAGCTGAGAATTGTTCCACGTCTCGCCATGCCAAATCAAGTGTCTGCAGACGATGTCAAGGGCCATCTCCGAGTTATGATTAAAGAAGCTGTACGGTCCGCCGCTCTGGCACAGGTATAATGCCTGCATACTGAGAGCTCTCAGCAAATACTGCCTGATTTCTTCATCGATTGGAGGCTAATGCTGAATTTTGCGAGTGGGTGATTACAGCAATGAAGAATCGAAGCCTGGGGGCATGTGATCATTATTTGGAGTACCAAGCTGATCTGGGTTCGGGACAGGAACAATGGACGAGCTTTTGTTTTGTATCAGCACTTGTAAAACAGGTTTATCTGATGGGCGTCTACAGGAACATCGATATTTGATGTTCATGAACCGGGGAAAAGCAAAATATGATTTTAGGGTATGACTGAAATGAAATAAACAAACCTCTCCTGTCCCCAAGACTTCAATAGATGCCGCCGGTAACCAGTGTTTGCAAATTCCCGTCCATGTAGTGAGTGAAGAAGAGCAGAAGCCGAACCGGATCGCTCTGCGACGCAAAGGTTGAGCGCTTAGGAGGTGGGAGACACTCTCAACTCAACCCACAGGGTTGTTCCGAGCTGGGTAAAGTACGGACGCTCGACTTTGACGACTTCAAGCCCGGGTAGCGACTTGGAGGCGCTCTCGACGATTTTGGCAATGTCTCGATTCCACCAGCACCCATATTCTAAAGAGAAGGAAGGATTAACTCGGGCTAGTGACTGGACTCGAGAGGGCCTACTTACTCTTGAAATGGGACGCGGCTGACCTGTCCAGCAACCCATTGACAAAACCCGACCATCCTCTCCCATGCTCGACGAGGATGATCCTACCAGTACCGGGCTTCACCATATTGGCCAGATCCCGAACCATTTGTTCGGGATCACGGACACTACACAGCGAAAACGTTGAACAAACAAAGTCATACTTTGCTAAAGTCGACATTTGTCCTGGGGGCGGGGGAACAAAATCGTGTATGTCGGACCGAAATATTCTCAACCTGTCCGACAAATAGGAGAAGACGCCCCAGTCGCTATGTGGAGGCAAAGCCTGCTTCATAACTCTCGGTGTAACACCTACCAATTGAGGAATAGTTTCTACAAGCTTCTCTATAGCGACGCCTAGCATCTCGCTGGATATGTCCACTCCGGTATAGGACAGAATCGGCGCCGACGAGGAATCAAGACGTTTACCCTCACTGTTAGCCACTGTAGCTTCGGCTCCCATTGACGGCGGAAACGTTGATTGAGATTGAAGGATGTTGCTCCAGTCGTAAAAGGGCATGTTCCGACCTGTGCCTATAGCGACCTCAAGCACATGACCTGAAGCCTCGGTGGCCATTTTCTGCCGCAGCGCAGTGACACCCATCAGCCACTCGGAGCCATCGAGGCTCTGATCGAACTTGCGAGCCGACTCCTTGGTGAACACACTGGGTCGCCCTGTTGGAATAGCATCTAGGGTTGGCTCTGGGCATTGACAACAGGGCGATGAGTAGAGCGAGGAGGCTAAAAGACTCATATATATGCCTAGGCCCAAAGCCACGACACCACAGGCGAGCAAGGGGACCTTTCTAGCCCTGAAGATGGTCTCGGCAGTTTCGAGCGGGGCCGGAGAAGTTGGAGAGGAGATTAAGACCGGATGCGCGTGGCGAGGAAGATATGGTTTGGATATACTAATTTTTGTGTCATGGTGAGCAATGTATCAAGGGCGGGGCATGCGCAAGTGGGCAGAACCAACGATCGTGAAGGCTTTGCAGTCGGTCTTGCCGGTCGAGTTGAGGCTGGTCTTTGCAGAACTGGGAACAGGCTTTGGGGCAGTCTAGGGGACTTGGCCCGGGTTGCTACGTGTAGCATTGGCCCAGTTTGCTCTCAAGAGCGGCAGGCAAGAGATGTAGGCGTTCGCACAGTTTGGTTCAGTATGTGTCGCTTCGCGGGAAGAAGGACTTTCGAAAGCAATCAACCTTGGTTGGTGCCTGTTGTGTATTGCCCTCGTGGAGTCACACCCGTAGAGCTTGGTCAATAAGCGTAAAAGGGCAGTCGGAGATCTCAATTATCCGCAGCGATTTGACAAGCGCCTGTGTCCCTGAGCTTGCAGTGTAGTGAAGTAGGGGTCTGCGGCGGAGTGGGGCTGGGCATTGACACGGGCATGAGGCCTGCCTGATCGAGCCAGACCTTTCATTTTCCGACACCTCTCCGAGGGCTGAATGGTTGTAGAAAGGGCAGGATGTCATACACGAAGCGCCAATGAGCTGCTGTGTGATCAGACAGATTGTGCCGATGGTATGGATGAGCTTGTCTAAATTGGCGCCCCGTCGTCAGTACTGCCCCAACTGCCCTAACTGCCCTCCTGCAAATTACCTAGGTAGAGTTGGATATGGGTGTGCACATACATCACTACCTGTAGACACGGCACTTTCGATCTTCTAAGTCTCGTTGACATGGGTTGCGCGCTGGCAACAATGCATCCATCGCCTCGACTACGATGCTCCTTCGACTACTATTCCACGCCTCATGGTAAAGATGAAACCGTCACCTCCTTGCCCTCGGAGTTCCGACGCAACCGGAGAATGTCACTGAGCTTCAACCATCCCTTCGCCCCCCACCCTGCTATCCCCGGGTCTACATCTGGCCGTATCGCGGTGTACCACGAAAATGCCCTTCGATCCAACTCAAGAGGCGTCAAGCTGCTCCAGCTTTCAAGTAGTAATCTAAGAGCCCCCAGAAGCAACCCCAAGTGACGGAGCCTCTCGGCTTCAGCTTCCGACCTGCTGAGCTTCTTGCCCTTGGTCCTCGGAACCTTTCCTGCCATACCGCCCTCTCCGCCATTCCCCTTTGTGCTGTCGTCGGACGAGTCGGGGTCAAAAGCCTTGAGCAGGTACTCCCTTGCCGTCTCCGGTCGGTATATCGAGGCTCCGACAACGGCATGGCTCCAATCGCCTGCGTTCAGTGCACTCCCGCTTCCTCCCGGCGCATGGTTCTTCTTTTGAAAATCAAGTGCCCAGAGAGCCACACCCTGACATTCTACCTCGTTCTGATGAATTCGTAGTCTTTGAGAAAGTGCCTCCGTAGTCACGTTTCTCATGAGTCTCCAGCGATCTGGGCCCAACAACTCACCACCAAACCACCTGCTCAGCACGACTACGACATCGTCGACGCCGGCTTCTCTCATCAGCCGGAGTATGAACTCGCCGCAACCAGTTTCTCCGTCGTCCTCACACACTTCGTGAATTTCCCTTGACTTCCTCCCTTGTCCCTGCTTCTGCACTCGATACCCCCAAGCATTGTGCGCTGCTGTCTTTAGGTGCGGCTCGGTGGATAAAAGCGAGCGGATAAGAGCAGATGCCTGCCCATCGTCTCCAGCACTCGTAACTCGAGCAACAAACGTCGAAGACTTGAATGTGATTTGACGACTGGTGGACCACGGGGAAGGTGTAGAAGCGGCGTTACCGTGACCCTGCAGTGTTGCTCCTGACGGACCCAATGCCGCCTGAGGTGCGGCCCTCAGTGTGCCACCAGAGCACTCTGGGACATCAGCCTCATCACCCTCCAACCTGTAGTCGCCCCTCTTCAGCACGGCTATCCTTCGTCCCATGATACTGACCTTCGGTTGCCCATCCCCCCACGAATCATCTTCGCCAGAAGTCTTTGCCAGCCCAATACTGACAGCCTTGGTCGTGGCATTTGCATTAACGACAGCCTGGGCTAGACTAAGACGGCTTGACAGAGGCTGTAGGGGCATCGTGTGTCGGAGCAGTTCGAGCACAAAGGCCAGCATGAGAGGTGCTCGATTTGTATAAACAGATGCCTCTGCAATATCCTCCTCGTTCGTGATGACAGGAAGAGTCAACGCATCTTCTTGTTCTTCTGCACTTCGACCCGCAACCTCCGAGTCAATGCCAATATGCTGCTTACTAGTACGCTTGCTGCTGGGGGCGCTCAACAAATCCCCCGCTCGTTTAGAAGCTGATTGCTTCGAGTGTGCCTTGCAAGCTGTGATGAGAGATTTGGCCGTTTTGGCATCTCCCAAGGCGCGCTCAACCACGTCAAAGGGAGCGTGGCTTATCTGTTGTATGCTGTCGATAAACATGATAACGTTTAATGACCAAGCAATAGAAGAGTACAGTGACATCGAAACACGTACCTTTGGAGGCCTACGGCCTGCAGAGCCTTGGCTTTCCCCATGGCGGCCATCATTGAGACTCCTTTTCGGGAGGCGATAACTCGTAGAAGATCTTGAAGGTCTTGTTGTGACGCCATTAAATAATATTCTGGCCTAAAGAACGATGCGTTTACTCGCCCGAGCCTCAATTCCCTTCGTAAGGACAGATATGCGAGGGAAACTTGGTGCCCTGCTGCTGCGTGCAGCCCTAGCTTCTGCCTCGTTGCGAATACTGACTACGGGGATGAACGTTTCGATTATTTGGACAGCCGCAGGAGTGCTTGATCCAAAGACAATGTCAATGTCGGAAGAGACACATGTACGACCCGCTAGACGGAATGACACTTGGGAAGAAACCTGGTGGAAACGTTCGATGAGAGCAGTGTGAAGCGCTACATGTGAGAGTTGACGGGTAATGCACTGCTCGGAAAACCCCACGTAATAAGTGGCAAGGGAGGGGCTATGGCGCCTAATAACAAGCACCTCCTTCACGGGAATGGACAGCCTTGCCTTCCCCATCGTTCTCGCTGTTTTGTATTTCAGCTCCTGTCCATTAGTCTCGACCAACGGAAAAGGCCGATAATTGCATAGCAGACAGGGTGAATAAGAATCGATCGGTTTCCCATTTACCGCCACCTGCTCAGCCGATACTTTCCACGAACTTTCAATGGGCGGACCCACTCAATGCGGTAAGTAGCACTACACTAATATGCATCGCAGCATCCGTATATCTATAGATTAAGCCGACCACGTAATCATCTGACAGAGCCCCTGCCACTATGAGAGATGCCATAAGAAACCCAATTCTTATGCATAATTTAACCAAAGAGTTGTTGTATGGAGCCTGAGAGTGTCCAATATGTTATTTGGCTCAAATTGAATCGACCTGTGGCGGCTGCATACGGGTCACGTAGCAATCAGGCGACCCTTCAGGGGTCCTTACTACCTCTAACTCGTTATACCCGCCCATCAGGCAAGTATCGCGAAGAAATAACGGTCCTCTATGCCATGACACCTGGAATCCCGCCGCGCCACGCTATTTCTAGAAAGGGTTCTCGTGATGCTTTGGCATGTTTCAGTTGCGCAGCTGCAAAACACCCATCATAACTCTTCCTCTTCCGCATTAGTAGTTGACGTACCTGCCGCGCTAGACTGCGTGGCGGTACCGCGGTTCACCATGCCATCCAATCCCAAGTTTGAGTTATCTGGATTCGCCTGCACATGGCTGTCTCCAGCGGTGATACTCGGGCGATGTTTCTTCAAGGGGCTTCCGATGATTGTCTCTGCTGTCGTATTGTGGCTGTTGCTCTGAGCAGCGCTCACATCGACTTGGTTATTGCCTGCGGTGGGAACGGAATTTGTCAATGAGCCCGCAAACATGCCGGATTGGGGGGCGCTGCTCGCTGCGGTGCCCGCCTTTCCAGGGCGGTCAGGTTCCGCTGAGTGTGCCCTCTTGAGCTGTTCAATCAAAGTTAGAAAAATACCTCCTGTGGACAAGCATGTGCAACATACGCGGATACGGTTTACCCCATCAGCAAGCTCCCCCTGAAACTTAACGTCCTCGGGGGCAAGCTTGTTGTCAACCTCCTTCTCGTCAATATCCTGCATCTTCCCAATGAGATCGCTCTCGTCATCGTCGTCGTCACTGTCGTCATTCAGGGCGCCCCCTACGTTGCCGTTGCTCTTCTTGCGGGCCTTTCGTCTTCTGGTGGCCTCGGTATCTTGGTCTCTGAAGGTCGAAAAACCAACAGTTCCGGACGTTTTCAACGGGCCAAGGTTGGAAAAGTCTAGCTGTCCAGATCGCCGCTTGGCCGATCCCGGTGTCGCCTGGGCCGGTTTGGAGGAGGCAATGATGCCGATTTTCTGAAGTTGTCCTGCATAAGTAATTAGCCTCGTGCAAATAAATTATCCCCCGGTGGATGGCTTACTCTCTCCACGATAAAAGAATGTGAAAGAAGCATAGGGCTTGTCCGGACCGTCGATGCCTGTCACAGTCTGAGTGCTAATGGTTTTCGGGTCCAATGTCTTGGGCTTGGCAAAGCTTGTGGTGTGTTCAACGTCGGCATCAACACCGCCTTTTCCGTTACCTTGATTGCCAGATGCAGCATCGTCATCGTCGTCATAAGCGTCAAACTGAGGCGAGTATTCTCCCTTTTTGATTTCGCCCGATGCCAGCACGCGGAACATGAGTACCTTGATCTGACCGGTTGCCTCAGGAATATCGTCATCATCGGATAAGGAATCAGAATCATCTTCGCCAAAGACGGCCTCGACGGGGGAGCCTTCGTCGGCGCCGTAGCGAAGGGTGTCCCTGGGACCATTAGGACCCTCTTCAACCTGCATGCTGGTAGCGCCCGTGGTGGCCTTTTGGCGTCGACGCCGCTTCTCAAACTTTTGGCGGCGACGTTCCAACTTCTCGGCGGCGTCATGGCCTTGCAGATCCAGGCCATTGAGCCAGCGCTCCAGTCCGACCTCGCGAAAGAGGAACTCGCGCTCGGCGAGACCGCCGCCTTCCGAGTCTGGAATCTGAACCCAACGGCTATTGACCCATGTCTCCTCGCCAGGGCGTAGAAGCGTAGCAACCTCTTCCTTGGATCTACCATCGAAATATATGTAGGCGGCTATCGTCTCGTTTTCGGAGTTGGTCATGGGAATGTAAGGGTTGACGACACCAGAGAATTTAGAAGGGCCATGGCCAGCTGTGGGAAGGCCGCCAACAAACTGCGGCTTCGGGTAAGGGTTGCTCTCTGTTGCCTTGGGAGTGGAGTACGGAATAGGTAGGCCAGGGGTAAGAAGAGTAATAGAAATTGCGAATTTAGCAGGCTCGGGCTTGTTGGAGTCGGGATTGATGCTTGGTTGAGGGACCGGGATATAGGTGCTGATTCGTGATAGACGCGACTGTTTCTGCATGCCATGCTCGGGGAGGGGCGCGCCGTTGGCATGTATGCTGACGGCGATGCCTTTGAAGCAGGGCATGGTGGCGAGGCGGACTGGAGCGCTTAGGCGCGCCGCACTCGGAGGATGAATGGGAGGTCGGAGACGGACAAAGCAAGCACGTGTATAAGCCGGCGATTAGGCAGAGGTGCGGAAGCGAAGACGAAGTTTGGGTATTTCTGGAGAGGAGATATCGAACGAGGTCCGGAAGCCCAGATAAGTCGGGGGGCTATGAGAGGCAGAGGCTGTTGGTTCGCGTGAGTCGGCGAGTACCTGTGACGGTGAACTGAGGGATAGCGGGGTGTATCCTTTTTTCCTTTGTCGTCTCCTGTTGTCGGAAGGACGCAAAACTGGTTGCCTTTAATTTCTTGGCAGGCGAGCAGCGTCAGAGCGAGGATGATGCGCGTAGGTGTCGAGGCCGGTGGTGCAGCAAACAGAGCAGTAGCCAAGTCGAGGTAGAGATTGCTCTTGCTCACCGTCTCCGAATGAACTTGGGAGGGGGCGTTAAGTGGATCTTGGGACGATTGAAGGCTGATGGGACCAGCAGTAGAACTGTGGTGTACGGTAAAGATAATGTAGCAAGGTACCTAGGACAGAGCACTGCGTAAGTTATGGGACTTGGGCGGGGGAGGCCTAGGAGCGAATGGTGCGCATGATTGCCCCGATGACTGGGGTGCCAGGTATTTTACAGACTGAGTTGAGAAGGACCAAGATCGTGTTGCAAGACTGGTAAGACCACACAGCGGAGGGGAGCCAAAAACCGACGATGTTTAAATGAGGCCGAGAAGTCGGCGACCACTGCGTTGGTAGTCAAGGAAGGGGACGCAAGGCAGAGAGAGAGGGAAAGAGAGTAAGGTGAGAGTGAGTAGTGGCCAAGGCAGGTAGGTAGTCAGTCAAAGCTAGGACAAGGTCCTTTGTCGAGGACGATGCGGCGGTGTGCAGCAGGAGGAGGGGTGATTAGGTATTTCTCCACAGTTAACAACTGTTGCTGCGGGGAAGGATACAGGAGGAGCAGTAGATTTTAGTAGAAAAAGAAATCGGAAGAAAAAAATCTCCCAGTTAAAGAGGTGAGTGCCTATGGGTACCTATCACTGTCTAGGTAGAGAGAGGCTAGGCCAGGTACATAGCTAGGTACCTATAGTACTAAGTCAAAAGTCTTGTAATGACAATGATGATATCTCCACTGATTTCTGCCTCAAACTGGTAATTGTAGCTAGTGTTATTAGCTGCTAACCCCCCACCCCACCCCTCGTGCTGTAACAAGACTTTTAATCTAGTACTGTATCTCTATGTTGGTGGGTTACCAGAAGGAAGGACACATTAGGTGGCTGGGGGAGGTTGAGAGAGAGTCTGAGAGCGCGACTAAGGTGCCCGAATTACTACCATACCCCCTAGGTACCTATCAGTGGAGAGATGGCAATGGGAAACGACTTCGCCCACCACGTGCACTACAACAAATATGCCAATAAAATGTAAACTCAGTGCCCGACAACAAGAAGTTCACATAAAGAGCAAGGGTACCTGTGACTACTACATATTTCTTCCGCTTCCACGACGTTGAACTTGTATGCTCATCCTTTGATTGGTGTCTATGCCCCAATGTCAGTTGAGCATCCTGAGTAAACAAAGTTGTATTTCAGTTCGAATAATGTTAAAATCTTCGACTTCCTGAAATGTCATGACAAGAAGTCGACACTGTGCATGACTAATCTTATTCAACATCTGCAGTCCTCCTTGCCCTCCAGGCCACCCGTATCGATTCGCCTAGAAAGACGATATAAATCACCAAAACCTAGCGATGATGCGATGATCTGCGCCGAACACTGCTCGAGCCACCCTCGCTGTAGCTTGTTCCAATGCCCGAGTCGCCCTTGTAACTACCCCGTCCGTCGTCCTCTTCCTCGTCATCCGCCTCGCCCCCGAGTGGGACCAAATCTTCCATACGGGGCCCCGCCTGAGCTTCCTCCTTGATTTCGGGTTCGTATCGCAGCGGTGCCTGGTTACCGTACGTTGGGAATGTCCTTGGCGCGTCCGACAGCTCGTCAACTCCGCTGCCATCCTCTCTTTTGACTCGGCCTGCCGCCTTGGATGAAACCTCCTCCAAGGCCTTTCCAGGACTGGTGCGAGAGCTTGAGCCTGACCCTGACAGCCCTGACCACAATAGCCATGCCACGACCATGAATAGAACCTCGGACGTCCAGAACAATATAATGGCGGAAGTGAGGGTTGCGAGACGGTAGTGGTACATCAGCCAGCGTAGGCCTCTTAGCTGGGCAGTCAGTGTCACCGAGGCATAATACGTTTCGATATTCTGACCACCCTGTATTTCTAGGTAGGCTGATGATGGCAAGGAGGATCCTCTGCCAAGCTCCACCCGCTCGGCCATAGGCACTGTGAGCACACATGTTTCTGAATCCCCAAAAAGAATATAATAAGCAAGGAAGAATATACGCGATGCAAGCGATATTAGGGGATCCTGGTATGGAACGAGCGCTGGGCGTCGCGAGGAGAACAGAACGGATTTGCCGTCGAAATGGCTGTAAGGCTCGGGCGGGATTTGGGGTTGCAACTTGTCGTACCCCGTCGAGAGGGCGCCGGCATCCAGGAGGTGGAGGGCGATCATGAAATTGCCTCGATGGGTGTTGGCAGGCGAGCGAGGCATGGACAGTGTGACGGACACATCATACTCCTGCTGCGTCCTGAGAGCAGACGTTGGAATGAAAGCCGTTCCAAAGGGATTGACTCCCGATCTGGGATAGGTGTCAGCCCGTGGCGTCCTTCCTCACTCTGTTGCGTGTAGGATGGATGGGCAGGGTTCACTCACCCATACTGGAGATGCACAGGGGCCGTCACCACTTGATCAGGTAGGTAGTTTTGGAAAAATAGAATCGATGCGACAGCAGCAAAGGGCAGTAGAAACAGCGAAGCTCCCACGAGGAGGCTAACATTCACAAGTGTTCGCTGTGCGGTCTTGGATGTGGCGGCTCGAGATGCCTTGCCCAGTACTTCCTAGTCGAGGTTAGAATGTGAAGGATGGTTATTGCTGGGTGTTTGGTAGGAGGGGGCTACCATTGCGGCGAGAGGAAGCTGAAAAATCAACACTGGCCTGTCGTTGGACTCAACAGGGACAAACAAAGGCTGTGCGGATTCTGTGCATTTAGGATGGCTACTCAAACGTAACCCGTTATCGGCGGCCGCCCTGCAAATTGAGATGTCCGGTATACTGTAGGTATTCAGTTCTTGACAGCAAGGTTTGGGCGCTGGGGTTCAAGAGTTGTGTATACTCGGCAAGTTAGATCGAGTCGGCTGCTGCGAGTGTCGATAGTGGTGAGGTGGAGAGTGCATCCTTTGGGGGAGATCCGAGGTAGGCAAAAGGAAGGGAAATATCAAGGAGAGGGAAGCTCAAGCTGAGCGGCCGTACGCTACCTCCAGGTAGTGTAATAATTGTATGGTGTTGATCGGATACGTGTGGCTAGCACACTCGCCGCCCTTTGCCTGGAATTCACTGTAATTGACCGCGTTCGAACGCCCCGTGGCTTGTTTTGGTACAGTGCCAATTGCACCGAAATGTAGGTGTCAATACTTATGGAAAGCGGGGGTGATGTCCTCGCTCGAGGCCTTGGCTGCCCAATACAGCAGGGCGAGAGTATCGATAATAAATGTGTGCAGCTGTCTGTGAGGTATTAACAGCTTCCTTCTTGCCAAAGCAGCCCAGAGCTTGAGTGCAGACGCATTGGAGGGGATAGCAGCGATGGGAAGGGATGGCTCAAGCTCGATCACATGCAACGGTATGTCTTATGACAGCATGTTATTTCGCAGGTGGATGATTATCTCTAAGACGGGTCTGCCTACCCCTCTATGAGCATATACCTTTGGGTACATAGCATGGATTGCTTAAGCTTGCATAGGCATAGTAACTGGAATAAGGGTCATCAACCAGCCCGAATGCAATATCTTCATTCTCATAGTCCCCGTGAGAGCCAACCACCAATACATATTTGAGCTAGGCGTTATCATTCTCATCAGACCCTCAATTCCAAACGAAGAAGAAATAAGAAAATAAGAAAAATCGTACAATCAACAAAGTCTCACAGTTGTTGACTTCATGACATGAGCCTTCGTCAAGTTGGCTGGCTTCGCTAGCTCTTACTGGCCTCGTGCCAGCATCACCCTAAGCAAACCCATCTAGCACCACTTTCAACCAGCGGATTGCTCTAACATGGCTGAAGATAGTTGCTTGGGACCAGCCCCATTCGCCCATTGCTTCCATGCACCTCGGCCTCCCACCATCCGTCATCTTGATGGCGCAAGACCGCGAGTAGGTCGCCTTTGGCGAACCCCAGCTCCTCCGGAATGGCCGCCTGGTACATGTACAGAGCTCTCGCTGTGATCTGATTAGCACTGTGCCCTTCCGATAGCTCGTCGAGACCTCGTCTCATACTCACCAAAGTGCAAAATAGGCCTGCCATCTCGATTGTACTGCCGCGACGGGTCTGCTACACTCCTGCTACGCGGCCTCGAATCACCTTGCCCGGGTGGCCCGCCTCCCTCGTAAAGACCCATGGCCCGGTTACTAGAGCTCGTACCAGGACGGTTCCCGCCTCGACCGCGCATTGAACCGTAAGTTTCATCGCCAAGGGGCGCTAACTGAACCGCCATGTCGTTGGCAACATGGCTACTGCCAGGGCGCATCTTCTCCAAATAAGGAGCCGGAGACGCTGTTCTCGAGATGCTGCTTGGCGAGTTCTGTCTATAATACGGCTGTTCAGACCCTCTTCGGGGCGTACTGCTCATCTGCGAGGTGTCTCTACCCACGGATCCACGATGATTAGGTGAGGCAGACCTGTACTCGCCGTGGACCTCTTCCGCCAACCCAGTCCTCGGAGAAGCGCTGCGCGGCGAGCTACGATAGGCGCTGCGGACATCTTCAGCCGGTGCCACCCTTGGGGAAGCGCTTCGTATCGGAGCCGGGGATGCCGCCCTAGGGACATCACTCCCTCTTGTGATCGGTCGAGATTGGGTGGTTCCGCTGTAGCCTGATCCAGGACGCTTCACTGGGTTGAACATGCTTCGGGTTTGGTCGGCAAACTTCTGCGATGTTTCCTTCATAGCCTTTGCCGTTACTGCCTGAGGGGGCACCCCAAGTCTCTGAACAACTTGTTGGTCATAAGGAGGCGGTGTTCCTCTAAGACCCGAGGTCATAGCGCCGCCGTTGCTTGCAGCTGGTGGGACTGACCTAGAGAATGGCTGAGAACTAGGCGTTGGAGTGGCGATGCCGTGGTAGCGGTCGGCCGACACACGTACGCTCGATTGCTTGCCGACGCCGACACCCTTGAGCTCTGCGAGGGCTAGGGCAATTGGATCGGTCTCAGGCTGAGAGGGCTGAACACTCGAGCCCTTTCTCTTTTCCAGGTCCGGGGTTGTGACTGAGAAGACATTTTGCCCTACATTCAGTGCAAGACTGGCATTCGCATCAATCGGCTCTGGACTGTTCGCTGATCTATCTCCGAGCAGATTTGGTGTTTCTTGTGTTGACAACTGCGGTCTTCGGGATGGGCTTCCTTGAGCGGATACCGGATGCCATGTGTTTCTGTTTGCTGGCGGGCCTTGAGTATCCTTTGTGCTCTTCCGACGGAAAGGACTACGATTCTGGAATAAACCACTTCTCTTCTTGAGGACCTGTTTGTCTGATACTGGAGGTGACGCGTTGACTTGCTCCTGCTTGATCGGAGATGCTTTTCCGCTAGGCGGCTCTTGGCTTGAGATTGAGGTTGGGTTCGAGTAGTCGCTTTGCGAATCACGGCTCGATGGTCGAGCTGAAGGGGGGTGAGAACTACGCTCAGATTGGGGCCCAGTACGGCACAGCATCGTCATACCATCGAGAGGATATGAATCATGCGGAACGGCGGCAAATGAGCTATGTTGGCCCACATCAACTTGGGGCCGCCTTTGGTGCTGCTGTTGCTGTTGGCCCACATCAACTTGGGGCCGGCTTTGGTGCTGCTGTTGTTGCTGCTGCTGTTGTTGCTGCTGCTGCTGCTGCTGCTGCTGCTGCTGTTGTTGTTGTTGTTGTTGTTGTTGTTGTTGTTGTTGTTGTTGGACATGCTGATTGGTAATTTGAACTCCCTGGCGCAGCTTGTCCATTGCTGGTGGCATCCTCTGCGTCGACGGTGGGGCTTCGCGAACAGTACTTGGGACCATCTCCCGCCGGCCCATGTCCTGGAAATAACTCCTTGAAGGGCTTGCGTCATCCTGTCCAGTTTCCAGCGCGAAACTTCTGGAAGAAGAGCCAGCATTCTTGTGGCTCTGTTCTGGTGCAAAGCCTTTAGAGGAGGGGCTGGTATCAGCTCGTGCTGCATCTGAAGCCTGGTGTCTGGATGCAGAAGAACTCGCTTCTTTACGACCCATATCAGGGACAGCAGCGGTCCTCGAAGATACCGGGGCTAATTCTTTGTGTCCAAGATCCTGGGCGAGGCTTGAGTTTGGGTCATGGTGTGATTCGTAAGTCGAGGGTTGCGGGGAAGATGACCGGAAGGCTGGGTTGATACTTCTGGGAAACTGCGCGACCGAGTAGTTATCGTCGTCAGACGATTCTGACTGCGTATCGTTGATGTCTCCCCGACAGAAGTTGATGTATTTGGGAGGATCTGGGATCTCCTGACCAGTACCTTGTTCCTTAATAAAGCTGACAATATCCGTTTCAACATCCATCTTCTCAAGCGATAGTCGTATTTTTTCACAGGAAGCATCGTCGCTGACGCAGACAGTGGAAGAGACATTGGCAAAAGTCCAAAGGCTGCTTTTGGTAAAGTCAAGACGCTCCTCCTCCAAGTCCTGGAACTTGTCGGCTGCGGCCTTCCACTCTCGATTCCATCTCGCGGTTGTGTCTTCGAGCACCTTGACCGCGTTTTCGTACTCTGTATTGGAGGTTGCGACACTGATCTGCGTTTTTTCCAGCTTGGCTTTGTTCTTGCGTTCTTCTTGGCCCATGACCATGTGACCCTGGGCGAGGTAGCCTTTGATCTTGAGGCATTCCTGCTCGAACCGATCTCGAGTCTGTCGGTTGTGTTAACGGGCCATTTCTTTATAGTATGATGAATAAGACTGAAAGCCAATGCTGAGGCATGGCTTACCTTGTTCACGTGCTGTGTCTGCTGGATCTTTGTTTTGAGTATCTTCTCAATACCATTCTGTACAATCTTTCTTCTTTCCTTCATGGCGCCGGCGAATGCAGCAAGTGGCTCCTCCAACTCAGTTTTCATCTGCGCTGCAATGCTTTGATGTTGCTTCGCCATCGACTCGACTTCACCTCGAACGGTGTCTAGTGAGGTCTTTAAGCTCCCCGTCTCGTGGGACCCAAGGGGTTTGCGACACAACGAAAGCAGCTTTCGGGCATATTCGTCTTCGATCGAGGCTCGAGCTACATTGGGCATTAGCCTTTATTTGGCCAAGAATCAATAAGCTGATGATTGCTACTGACCACTGTAGAATGCCTTAAGCTCATCGCACGTCTGCTTGGCAGCAAGCATGCGGTCAAGGAGGGGGCCGACACCGGCATCTTCTTTTCCCCAAAAGTTGTTTGCGACTTCCGATTGTTAGCTTCGATTCCCGGTGTATCGGCACTCCTGACGTACATGACAGAGCCACGGATGGCGCTTCCATTGTTGTTGCAGGCATTCCGCCTGCGAGAGATGTCAACCCGCTGTATAAAGATAGGGAGTAATCGGAGTTAATCTATCGAGAAGCGTAATCGTAGCAGCAATGGCTGGATGCTCACGAAGGACTTCTGTTCAAAATGAACGGTACAAAACTTATTGCTCTTCTCAAATTCACTCCATGAAATATAGAGAATTGATGAGAAGCCTCGTTGGCAGAGATAGCTATTGTCGGTCGGTTGAAGAAGAGGTAGGGTTGTTTGGGTGCGTTGCCGGGTAACCAGTCTGCCGCCCAGCGCCCAGAATCTTGGAGGCGCAAGGTACGTACCGCTTGGGGGATGCAATAGCAGCCTGCCTCCTTACCTGTCAACTGTGTACTCCGTACGTAGGTAAGCAAGCCTCAATGTGATGGTTTGCGCAAAAGGAATGTCCCTGCTCCCTTGTCGACTTGTCAGCTGTTAACAGGTATCCCCATCCAACCGAATGATGGACTTTGTGGCTTGATGTGGAGTACCACCTGCCTAGGTATCCACCCCACCTGGGTACCTAGGAACCTATGTAGTGTACAGCAGCGCGCAAGCTATTAGTCGCTGAAAACATGTCACGTGCTGCTCAGGGTACCCCAAGATACACGTTGGTGCCATTATATCGTACCCCCTCTTTACCCGGCGACCGGACAGATTGATATCCAGCACCTCAGTGCCATTGCCGCTTTACCTAAGCAGCCTCAGCGCTGTCTCAACCTCTTCCATTCCACTGCCCTTACTGTGCAAGTTCGGTCCACATCCAATCCCCTGCCAGCGACCCGAGCCTCCACGTCCTCACGTCGGTCAATTCGGCCTGAGTCTAATTTCTTCATCTCTTGCGAAGCTGTTTAGCACAACACGACAGACGTTGACGATCAACGTCCTACCCTTTACCGAGCCCTTCAAACCTTTCTTTCCCCTTATTCAACCCTCAGAAGTCGCCTGATTTCTCTGGAAGCCGCCGCATCGATCCTACGCCCACGGCTCGGCGAGCTTTTCGAGTCGCTTCCGATTGACCTGGCTCAAGTGCCAGGTCCCCTCCCCTCCTCGCATCAAATACTCTAACCGCCAACTGTCACCACCCCATCGCATCAAACTCGGCCAGAGGTCGACTCCATATCCTCCACTTGGCGCACTCATTCTCCGCAGCCGTTCTCGTCTCAAATTGTTGTCTTCTTTCGCTAGTCGCAACACGCCAGCGCTGTCCTGCACAGCTGTTGCATCACTCTTTGTTCATGCGGACATCCTTGGTTGCAATAGCATTCTTCGGCGGCACGATTTAGGGAGCTTCAGCGAGGAAGCTGGTTTTGTCTGGTCTATTTGCAAGACGGACGATTCCGCCTTCCAACATCTCTCCCCCATACGCAATACTATCCCATGGTCCCACAATCAAGATCGGGATCATTCTCTCCACATCCTTCACAGACACTGCAGACAGGAGCTGGGCAATCGCCCCATCCATCGCAATCTTCTGCGTTGAGTGCGGGCGCAAGTCCTAATACGAGTAGTCCGACAGGGCCAAATCCCCTGGTCAAGATTGCAGTTGCACAGGTTTACTTACTTCTCGGCGCCATCAAGGAGGACAAGGACCGCGCAAAGTGGGAGACACAAGCAGAACAACTACAAAAAGTAAAAGCCCCGTTCTTCCGTCTATTTCTGCAGCTATCCGCTCCTAGCCTACTCGTCAAGCTTTGTGCTAACGCGCCTCCTTTTCTTCATAGCTCATCGATGAACACGGCATGGAGGTTTTTACAAAGTACTTTGCGCGCCTCGTGGCCGTCCATGCCGCCCACATCTTTCATGGTCAGCCACGACCGGGGGCCAATGGCAACTTCCATCTTCTCGTGACCGAAGTGCAAAAGATTTCCCACGACATCAACCAGGCCACCAAGATTGCCGAATCCATCGAGACAGGTACAGAAGATATATTCCGCGACTTCGATATGTCTACGTTCATGGAAGCATTCAAGCTAGATGCTCTGGAGAAGACGATACTGGCATTAGCCTTCAAAATGGGATCGAGATCTGACCTCAAGACGAAGGGTGCGTTGTTCTAAGCCGCTGTAGTTTCCGACTTTTCATGTTCTAACTTGCATTCTAGCTGACGCCATATTGTCCACGAATTTTCCTACATTCGTCAACATTCTTGCCCGACGCGAAATAGAAGAGCATGCGGATTTGACGGATCAGTTCATTGCCATACTCGTTGACCGCTTCATTCAATACCAGCCACCCAACTTCAATGCTGCGTCCAAGGCCGAACTCGCCTATAAAGTACAGGCAAGGTGGCATGGAGATCAAGCACCGCCTCCCTCCGAAGTGCTCGCGGCACTTGATTTGGTCAGGGTGCTAGCCGACAAACCTCCGAATGCACTCGCCACGTACATTCAAAGGACCGGTGGTGACTTCACGAGGGACGAAGAAACCTGCGTATCGTATTTGCAGAACCGCCCGCCAAATGTCCAGCTGAGTGAAGAGCAAGTTTCTATTGCCCTTACGTACAGCACGATTAGCCAGACACCGCCTTACGATTCTTCGGTTCTCACTGCATCTCTCCGTCGAGTCCTTCCCCCTTCCTTCCGATGGCAAGACGTGGTCTCGTATTTTGATCAAAGATCCGCCAGAATCTCCTCGCAGCAGTTCTTGCGCCTCTACAATGCCTTATTGCCGATTGCGCAGGACGATCAAACATTTGACATCCAAAAGCTGTGGGGTGGCAATTGGGAGCACCCGGAAACCCAGCTGTCTTTCATTTGCGCATTCGCCTCTCTACAACCTGATCAGCTGGACGCCAGTACCATCCCGGGCCTAGTTCCAACGTTGACTTTGGACACATACGCCCAATCCTTACCCGAGGTTCAACAACGCGCTGCGTTCGCAGTCAAGCATGCTCTAGTCTCGGTCGAGGCTCTGTCGGCGGTGTTTCACGTTGCACTACACTCCGTACACGCTTCGCAGAGTGTTGAAGCCAAACGCCTATTCCAAGAGGTCGTGGTGCCAAACTTGGACATCTTTGTTGTATCTGCATTCGGGGTACCCAAGCCCTGGCCGACGATGGCTGTGGACACGCTTAATTCCCTTTTCGAGAGCTTCTTATACAAGCGCTCGACCGAATATGATTTCGTCCTTGACAGCTTATGGAAGAAGGATAAGGAATGGGTGACCCAGCGGTTGATTGATGCCCATGCTATCAAACCAACCGACCTTCCCTTGATATTTGAGCACGCCCTGAAGCACAAATGGCTCGATGAGCTTGTGTATTTGCCCAATGGCTTTGGTCTTGACCTTGCAGCTCTGGCACATGCCGAAGGGTACCTCGACTTGGTCAATTGGGCTCGCCGCAACTCTGAGAGAAGCAACGAGGTTGCACGTTCCCTGCTACAGTTTTTGTTGATCAAAGCGAACCTCGAACTACAATTCCAGCGGCCCCCCGATGGTCAACCCGCAGTCAAGTCCAGCACAACCCTCCAAGTGAGGACAGTGGCCGCCTTTCTGCAGATCTTGGAGGATTTCTTGCCAAAGACACCTCTGCAGGATCTCATTATGGTGCAAAGATCTTGCATCACTGTTTACCCAAGACTGATCAATTATGGCGAGGGTTTCGACGATATCATTGACGCCAATGGCAAAGATGGAAATGCCTTGCCTGCTGCCGCCAATAGCAAGATGGAAGAGCACTACAAGAAGATGTATGGCGACGAGATCCAAGTCCGCAACATTGTCGAGATCCTCGATCGATACAAAAACTCTCGTGATCCCCTGGATCAGGACGTTTTCGCTTGCATGATCCATGGCTTGTTCGACGAGTACGCTCATTACGTCGATTATCCCTTGGAAGCTCTTGCAACAACTGCGGTCTTATTCGGCGGTATCATATCCCATAAGCTGATTTCCGATCTCCCGCTCAAGATCGGGCTTGGCATGATTCTAGAAGCCGTCAGAGACTATTTACCAGAGGACTCGATGTATAAATTCGGACTCCAAGCTCTGATGCAACTTTTTTCTCGCTTCCGCGAGTGGCCCGGTTTCTGTCGGCAATTGCTGCAGATACCTGGCCTTCAAGGCACTGAGGCGTGGAAAAAGGCCGAAGATGTCGTCAGAGACCACGAGGAAGAGCTTGCTCGATCACGTAATGGCATAACGACACCTGCTCATGGTGCCCCTCTCACCAGCGAACCACTGACGAATGGCAATGGGACGGAAGCCAGAAGCATGGAGCGACAACCGCCACCGTTTACTTCCATCAATGCGTCTGAACGATCTCCTGGTGTTGATGTCGAGGAGCCCTCAGGCGACATGCAAGGGAAAATCCAGTTTGTTCTCAACAACCTCACCGAGACGACTCTACAGACAATGTGTCAGGAACTGCGAGACATCTTAGAGCACCGCTACCAGCAATGGTTCGCGAGCCATCTTGTTGAAGAGCGAGCCAAGATGCAACCCAACTACCATCAGGTCTACCTTGAACTGGTCAAACTCTTTGAAGACCGGGTGTTGTGGGGGGAGGTATTGAGGGAGACGTATGTCAGCGTCGCCCGCATGCTCAACTCAGAGGCCACGATGCAGAACTCGACTGAACGCTCTCACCTGAAGAACCTTGGTGGATGGCTGGGTCTACTGACATTGGCACGTGACAAGCCAATCAAGCATAAGAACATTGCCTTCAAGCAGTTGTTGATCGAAGCCCATGACACCAAGAGACTTATAGTTGTTATCCCTTTTGTCTGCAAGGTTCTTCTCCAGGGCGCCAATTCAACAGTATTCCGGCCACCGAATCCTTGGCTTATGGACATTATCCACCTGCTCATCGAATTGTACCATCATGCCGAATTAAAACTGAACCTCAAGTTTGAGATTGAGGTTTTGTGCAAAGGCCTTAATCTTGATCACAAGAGCATAGAACCTTCTGGAGAAATACTCAACCGCGCTGCTGTCGAGGACACACAAGACGTGCTTCCACAGGACACGCTGGATACGTTTGAGAACCTTTCGTTGAACGGTATTTCAACTGGTGTAACAGCTGGTCTCTCGCCTCAGGTCATCGCCGCTTCCATCCCGGACCTCGGTCCTCTTATTCACATACCTCCCACGAACGAGATGGTCGTTACGGCTACACGGCTGCACGAGATCGTCCGCACTGCTCTCACCCGCGCTTTACAAGATATTATCCAACCCGTCGTGGATCGATCGGTTACGATTGCTGCTATCTCTACACAGCAAATGATTCACAAGGACTTTGCTACTGAGCCTGACGAAAATCGAGTTCGAACATCGGCAATCAGCATGGTGAAGGCGACGGCTGGAAGCCTAGCGCTGGTGACGTCCAAAGAGCCTCTGAGAGCCAATTTCACCAACTATATGCGGAACCTGTCGAATGATCTCCCGCAGGGTCTACCAGAGGGCACGATCATCATGTGCGTCAACTCGAATCTTGATCTCGCCTGCAACATCATCGAGAAACAGGCAGAAGAGAGAGCGGTGCCCGAGATCGAAGAGATGATTGAGCCCGAGCTGGAGGCACGACGTCGCCACCGTTTGCAACGGCCCAACGAGCCATATGTGGATGCGTCGCTCAGTCGATGGGCCTGGACGATTCCTAACCCATTCAAGCTGTCACCAAGTATGGGTGGCTTGAACCCTGAACAAATGGCTATCTATGAGGACTTTGCCCGCCAGCCTCGCAGCACTACGTCCAATGTCCCTTCCCATGTTCCCTCAGCTTCTGACGCAACCCGTTCGCTTGCCAACGAAGTTCTGCAGGACCAATTTTCTACTGTGCCCGGCTTGGGTGCCGCTGCAGAGGCGCCGGCAGTTCAGCATCTCAATTCCCAAATCCAATCCTACGCCCCAGTCCACAACGGAGCGATGGCTAGCGCGAGACCCCAGGCATTCCAGATGGATGGCCGTGCGTTGATTGATCGTGTCCAAAAGCTTCTTATGGAGCTCCAGCGTGTTGCCACCGAGGCCCGCGAAGAGCACTTCACAGATTTGCCTCGACCTCATCCTGTTCTTGATGTTGTCGACGCCTTGGTCCAGCACATGATCAAGGCGTCGCAAACTTCTGAAGAGTTCGCCATCTACGCGGCTGACCAGATAATCCAGCTTATCTTTACCCAGGTCGAGGACAACCTAGCCCTGGAGAGCTTGGTCCACGTTCTCGAGACGTTGAGGAAGATTTCTGGTCCAACGCTGAACAACCGCGTAACTGCTCTGTTTCGCCAGCAGCCTGGATCGACGTTTCTGACTTTACCTCTTCTTGCTGCGCTGTTGCGCACAGACCTTCTTGACTGGAGAAACATTGACTTGGCAATGTCCAAAGTGCTTCAGCAAAGGAAAGAAGGGTCACTGGAGTTCTTGGAACAAATGGTAGATCTGACTCTTCTGGCCAACCGACCAATGGCACTCTACGGAGACTTCGTTCGAACACTCGAGGCCGCTTGGTCATGGATACAAGATCAGCCGGAATCGATAATCGGACAGCGCTTGAAGGCAAAGCTTTGCGGCCAGACACTGCCGCAGACTTCCCAACAAGAGTCTGACAGCGCCGTTCACCAGGATCAGATGGAGTATGTTTTTGATGAATGGATTCATCTCTGCAACAATCCCAACGCATCGGAGAGCTCTGCGATTCTGTTTGTTGAACAAATGCAGATGAGGGACGTGGTCAAGACCAAAGATGATCTCTTCCTATTCATCAGAATTGCGGCAGACATGTCGGTGGACAGATTTGAACACTTCCTCCATACGACAGGAACACTGACGGATGCTTTCCTCGCAATTGATGCTCTAGCCAAGATGATCAATATCTTCATCCGGCTACATGACGAAACTGAGCCCGCTCCAACACCCAGTCGCGCGGTGTATTTGGACTCTATCCTAGCTTTCATCACCCTTGTTCTTAACCATCACCACGTGAAGCGCGCCGAACACTTCAACCAAAGAGTCTTCCATCGCCTGTTATCGGTCCTGCTGTACGAGATCAATTCAACCGCTGAGCAGCTTTCCGAGGCCGAGAAGTCCGGATTATTTATCAAGTTCGCTTCTAGACTCGTCGATCTGGGACCAAAATACCTCCCGGGCTTTGTATTCGGGTGGCTTTCTCTTCTCCAGCACCGCGTATTCTTGCCCACCGTCATGAAAGACCGTGCTGGATGGATCGCGTTTACCAGACTCTTGCAGCTACTTCTTGAGCACGTCGGAGAGCAGGTTAAGTCGATTGAGCCTTCCAATGTGGCGCGAGAGATCTACCGCGCAACGCTCAAGCTTCTCGTCGTCTTGCAGCACGATTACTCCGAGTATCTTGCGGCCCATTCGCATCAGCTTACGATCAGTGTCCCGCCACACTGCAAACAACTTCTCAACGCCATTTTAACGGCGAACCCAGCAACTCATCCCAAACTGCCTGACCCATCGTTCCCCGGATTGCAAGTCGACCGGTTAGATGAGGCTCAGGAATCACCTGAGAGCTTGGACAATTCCGCAGCTATTCTTCGGGACCTAGGATTGCTTGATATTCTCGACCATGCGTTGCAAAACGGTCCCTCAGAAGATACTTTGGCGCATATCGCCCGAGCCATCACTGAAAACCCGCGTCTTGACACCGGTTTCGGGCATGTGCCTATCAATGCCAACCTACCAGTGATTGAGGCAGTCACGTTACACGTCGGCAATTACGCTGTCGAGCAATCGACGCAAAAGGGTACCGATGTCTTCAACCCGGCATCGTCAGACGTAGCTACTATGTCTCTACTGCTCCACGAGCTGTCACCCGAGGCGCGCTACTTTCTCATCACTAGCATAACCAATCAGCTTCGGTTTCCAAACGCCCATACCAACTACTTCAGCCGGGTGTTGTTGGAAATCTTTGGCCAGGACATGAACGACCCGGAGGAGACGGAGATTCGGCAGCAAATCACCCGAGTGCTTTGGGAGCGCCTCATCGGGTACTGGCCTCAGCCGTGGGGTCTCATGGTGACGGTTGTCGAGTTGCTCAAGAACGAGAAGTATATGTTCTTCGACCTCCCGTTTGTGAAATCAAACCCAGAGGTAAGTCATCATGGCTGGAAGCTATCCCTGCCGATTGTTATTCGTGATTAACTCAGTGTCTCAAGGTCGTCGAACGATTCCATGCCATTTTGCAGCGCACATGAGTTTGCATGTGAATTGGCATGGGTCCCAGTAATTCCGGTTACTTATATCAACGATTTGAGGATAACGGGTCATGTATCTCATGCTGGGCGTTGATGACTTTGCGGCAGCAGGAGATGGGGAACCCTAGCTGAACGGGGATTTGAGGGGCTTCAAAAGGATACTTGGGCATCGATTCCTAACTGAAGGCGTTCTAGCAAGAGAGGCACCGGAAAAGATCCTGTAGTATTTATTGTAAGATAATGAAAATTCCGGTGGCATGTTGGACATTCTTTTGCGACTTTGGAGCAATATTTTACACATTGTGAAGCTCTACCGTCGTCGAGCCAGCGCTTGGCGTGCTGAGTTTGTGATTGGGCTAACTCAAAGAGATACGCGCGCGGTTGCTTAGAAATGGGTGGGTCTCACATGTTGCGTCAGCGCGATAATTTGGGCACTCGGCATTAGGATCGGGCCAAATGTCTTACTCTACAGAACTTGTTCCACCGGCTCCTACTTAGCCACTCCGCAAACAAAGGCAGCTCGGTACTATACATTATCTATCCAGACATAATCACTGTTTCCTTGTTGCCTCGGGCTTTTCAAATACCAACTAAAGTTGCCTCTCAAGCATTTGCAATGGCTTCCAATCCCCCGCTGTACACCTACGTTTCTCCTCGCGAGGGGCATGGAAACGCCCCTCCTTTACCTGACGAGCTCAATGAGGACGGCAAGAGTTTCAAAAACCCGCCTCGGGACTGTCTGAGCAAGGCTTACGAGACCTTCCCGGCGCCGCTGGATAACGGACGCAGAGGAGGCTTGTTCGTGACATCTCGGCTTTTGGAGGAAATATCGTCACTAACATGAGGCAGTGATATCCATATCTACCATTTCCAGTCCAACCCGGAGCAAGTCAAACACGCCAAAGATCTCTGGGAACGCATCCGACGGGAGTGTAAACATTTCCGACTTGCCGTGACTGGCTGAGATATCTGCTGATAAAGATCTAGTCCCTGAGCTGAGAATTTATCGATTTTGGGAAGGGCCAGTTGGTCCGCATCCTGTAGCCATGTTCGAAGTTAACATCTTCACACCGGCCCAGTTTGGCGCCTTCATTCCGTGGTTGGCCATCTATAGAGGGCCCTTGTCCGTTCTCATTCACCCTAATACCACCGAGGAGGGATTCGATAGTAATGCTACTGAGCTGCGCAACCACACCCAACGAGCTATATGGATGGGCGAAAGACTACCGCTGGACACATCAATCTTCTATCGTAATAGCTATTAATCACGTACGAAGATATGGAAACTGGTATCTTGAATTTCTCGTCCCGTAGCTGCAAATATCAATACAAGTACAATATAGTCCACCATACAAATGCATGGAGGGCAATGCATTTGTACCTACCTAGGTTAGGTAGCCAAGGAGCGAGCCAAGAGGCGAGGGCGGTTTGAGCGGTTAAGTGGGGCCATACTACCTACCGACTGTCACGTGAATCTGTGTCAGCTCGTGTTTGTCAGCTTTGTGAGGCGATCAAATCCAAGGCCGAGTCCAAGATAACATCACCTACAACCATGCAGAGCAATCACCCTGCACCTCTTTCAGTACCTCCATCATTGCTTACTAATTCCAGTCAACATTCGGTCGTTCGGTCTGTGCAAAGGGACCACCATGGCTGGTCGCAAACGAACCAGGGCTACCCGGTCTATAGCTGCTGAGTCCAATGTGCCGGGTGTCTATCAAGAAATGCTGGCTGAGGCCGCAGAAGATGCTGATCGTGCACATTCACCTTTGTTGGAGCAGCCAGCAAAAAGGCTCAAGAGACCTGGAGAAAAGAAGCCCGAGACTCCCATCGCGATGTCAAAAGTTCCGGTAGCGGAAGGAATCGATGACGACGGTGATGAAGGTATAGAGTTCGAAGACGTAATTATCCCTCCAGCGAATGTCCAGATTATTATCAAAAACTCGGACGAAGAAGACGAAGAAGACGAAGAAGAGGATGAGGAGGATGTGGACGGAATCGAAACTAAGGTTGTCGATTTTGGGGCTGTGCAGGCTAATCCAGAAGCCATCGGAGAACCCAAGAAACTCACATTGAATCTATCAGAGCACAGTAGCACTGCGACTGATGCTCGAAAGGGAACCAAGAAGAGGAAGCCTATTACGAAAGAGGAGAAGGAGCGCCGCGTATCAATCCACAGGACACACCTTTTATGTCTCCTACTACACTGCGCCCTGAGGAACCGTTGGTGTGATGATGAGCAGGTACAAAACAGCGTCCGTCCTCTTCTCACAAAAAAGATTGTCGACTATCTGAAACCGAGCCCCAGTCTTCCTCAATTTGGGCAGACGGAGTCGCTAAAGAACGGCCTGCAACAAGCTAGCACTATATTTATGTCAAAATTCCAAATTACTGAGGGAGGGCTACGACGATCCCTATGGGCTGAGGATTCTGAGCATCTTGCCAATGTGAGTGTACAGTTCTGCTTCTTCGCTTCACCCAATGGCTGATTCAACCATGCTCAGTATGAACCGCCGACAAACATGGACTCATGCATGGATCGTTCAGACTTCAGACACGCGGCTAAGAGGCTTTGTGGGTCTCGGGATGTTGGTGCTCAGCTGTATTGTGCCCTCCTACGGTCTGTCGGAGTCCGTGCTCGCTTGGTTTGCTCATTACAACCATTGCCATTTGCCCAGGGCGGCCCGAATCTGCCAAGAGCTCAGGAAACAAAGCTACCAAAGAAGTCGACCATGGAGGAAAATATACGGGGTCAGCTGCCACGGTACAATATTAATGTACAAGGGTCATTATCTTCCGCCTCAAGTCTGGTTTCACCGCTTCGACGACTAGGCCATCCTAATGCCACAGCCTACCAGTTACCTTTACTACCAACCCCACCACCGACTACACATCAGCCAAATAAGACCCCGAAGAGGATCCGTGAGTCGCCCTTCCCAATCTACTGGGTTGAGGTGCTGGACGTTGGCCATCAGAAATGGCAGCCCGTGGACCCGCTGGTCACAAAATCCATGTGGAAACCTAGAGCATTAGAGCCACCAGCTACCGACAAGGAAAACTCTATGGCTTACGTGGTTGCGTTTGATACTGATGGCACGGCACGAGATGTTACGAAACGATACGCCAAGGCTTACACGGCTAAAACGCGGCGGTTGCGAATTGAGACAGCTGTCGACAATGGTGACCGATGGTGGCGGAGAGCGCTGAGGCCGTTTGCACGGAGTTGGCCGAATGACCTTGATCAGATTGAGGACAGCGAGCTGACGGCAATCGAAGAACGCGAGCCAATGCCTCGCAACGTAGCAGACTTCAAGCACCATCCTGTCTTCGCGCTGGAAAGGCATCTAAGACGTAACGAGGTTCTCATCCCCGACGCACAACCCGCAGGAACGGTTGCAGCTGGCAACAGAGCCCCACTTGAGAAAGTATACCGACGTAAGGACGTACGGACAGCTCGAAGCAGGGATAAATGGTATCGTATGGGGCGCGAAGTGAAGCCGCTACAGCTGCCTGTCAAATTCTTGCCACGTCGGTCAAACGCTAAACCAGGAGAGTATGTCGACGACGGCTATGGAGGCGACGAGCGTAGGGCCACCGGCACGCCTATCTTCATACAAGAACAGACAGAAGTGTACCGGCCCCCTCCGGTCGTCGACGGACGAGTGCCAAAGAATAAGTTTGGTAACATCGACTTGTATGTTGCAAGCATGGTACCGGAGGGTGGCGTCCATATCACGGACGAATTTGATACTGCTGCGAGAGCCGCCTACACGTTAGGCATTGACTACGCACCCGCTCTGTCAGGGTTCCAGTTCAAAGGCAAGCACGGTACAGCAGTCTTCAACGGCATCGTGGTAGCTCAAGAGTACAAGGAGGCTGTATGTGCGGTGATGGCAGGTTTCGATGATATGGATGCGCAAGCAGAACATAGCAAACGAGCCTTTGTGGCCATTAACACATGGCGGCGGTTCCTCATGGCTCTCCGCATTCGGGAGCGCGTATGGGCAGGGGTGGACCTCGAGGAGCGTGTCAAAGAAGACAACCGATTGGTTGAGTTGGCCGCAGCCGATGCGAATGGTGATGTGGCCAAGCATGACATAGAGGAGAGTGGCGGATTCTTTGCTGAGGACAGAGCTGTGGTTAATGACGATGCCAGAACCCCAGCCGGATGCAAGGTCAGCTTCGTAATGGATGTGAGGGACACCATCAACAGTTACAGGGCAGAAAGTAGCGACGGGTTCATTGGGAATGACAACGCACCCAGCGGAACTTACATTGCGAGCCAGGTCACCGTGGACAATACCAGAGCCGAACTTATCAACGATGATGGAAACGAGGTAGACTGTGCAGTTACAGGCGACGGTGGAACAGCGGCTGGGCGTAGAGAACACAGAGACCGGACTCAGGATAAGTGCGGGTTCGAGCCGGACCCGGGTGACGAAGAATTCGAGGAGGCGCCTAGCGATGTTACCGAAGAATACGATATGGAAGACGATGACGGTGGTGGAGGGTTCTTAGTGGAGGGTTCTTAGTGGACTTACTTAGAGCAAGTGACAGCACAGGAGCGGGAAGCAAACTGAATCGTTACGACATATGAAAGCCTTTGTGGTAAAAGGGCCCTTTGATATATTATATTGCGTGGCCGTTAGAGTGTGGGTTACTAGGAGCTGCCCTGCTGACATAATAACCACAGCGATCTGCGGGCCACCTCTCCAGTGTCTGCGGCACCAGTGTGGTCCTCCAGGACGCCCCAGGAAAAAATTCTTCCAGCCTGTCGTCCTAGGTTTGGCTGTGCTGACTGAGCCTTCCATTGAGATAGGCCCCCAAGGTCAAAACTCCAGCGCGTCACCGGATCAATCAACGCCTTTCAACCTCCATCGGCAGCCTGGTTCTTCCTATTCCGTCCACCAGATCGCTTTCTGGCAGATCCATCACGAAAGCCCGCATCGGATTATTTTTTGAAGAGAGAGTAGAGGTCAGTCAGCCCGAATCAATCGCTTGACCACTCCCCCCCATTCCATAACGCTTTTGTTCCCGAAATCAAAATGCTGTTGCGGCCTTGCGCGATGGAAGAGGATTTGCAGAAGCTATCGTCGTTGCAACGTCGCGATGTGCGAGTGCAATGATTGGCAAACACAACCTGAGCTCTACGACTGGCCTAGCTTGAGCTGGACCATGTCGCGGTCGCGTCAGTCTACATCGGGAGCTTCAGGAGGCATGCCTTCGGATCTCGTCGTCCAGCCACCGCCTGGAAGTAACAGCGAGAAAGAGGAGAATGAGAAGAAGAAACTGTACTAAGCCATAGTTTCTCACAGTCAATTGAACTCTCCTCGACTTCGAGGACTTGCCGCTTTGCCGTGCTACCGAATCGCGACGCGTTCTGTGTATGCGCGAACCCGAAATCGATCGCCATCGCTACCCATTCTTGACACATTTTCACTACCAACAACTCAACAAGCCCTCCGTCTGCCGGTTTGCCCAATTCACTTTATCGGCGGGTTTCGTTGCTTTGCGCAGTCAAATCACTGTTTCCTTCGCCGACACACCAGCTGCCTGTGTGTCACCTGTACCAGGAGGCAAATCAACTTTCTCGATACAACGGAGCTTGTACGGGGTACTTCTTTTCTGCTGTTACGCGCAGCTATCTGCCGAAGGCGATACATCTTCATATTTCGCGATTTGCCACGGTGCATTGGCAATCATGAGCTCTGCCCGCGAAGGCGACCCTATCGAGGAGGAAAGAATGCCGATGCAGGGCCTCCAAGAGGACAGACTCGAAGGCGACAGAGGTCACGAAGGAATACACGAAGACCGGATACCAGAGGAGAGCATCCAAGATGAGAGAGTTGAGGGTGAGAGAATAACAGACGGCCGATTGCAGCACGAGCGTTTGCCCGACGGGAGCCTCCCAGACGAGCGCATGCAGGATGAGCGAATCCACAGTTATCCATCCCCTCAGATGCCAGAGGAGCGAAATCAAGACAGCGATCGGATGCAAAGCTACCCTTCTCCTTCTACCGAGGCTCAAAACACCGGTCCATACTATCACGACGATTCACGAGACGACACTCAACAAGATCAGCAGCAGCCGCCGCCTACACCCCAACAGCAACCCTCCCACTCTGCTAGTGTCGAGGAATTGCAATTGGCTGCTCAGCTTGGCCAGGATCTAGCGGCAGAGCCCATGATGCATGTCACAGATCCTAGCATGAGTGTTGAAGATCCTAGCTTGCGCAGCATCATGCCTCACCCTCACTCCCACCCTCACCCAGAGCAACCTCAGCCTCAGCCTCAACCCCAGCACCAGGCCCCTCCCCCACCGCCCCCCCCTCCTCGCCCGTACGTTCCTGAAGAGCCCCTTTCCGAGTCTCTCCAGCAACACGTGTCTGTGCCCGTGGCAATGGATCACCACAATCTTGCCCAGTCATATGCTCTTGGCGACAGTACGCCTCCGAGAAAGCGATCCAAGGTCTCCCGCGCCTGCGACGAGTGTCGTAGAAAGAAGGTGAAATGCGATGCCCAGTCCGACTCCGGAGACAATCCATGTTCCAATTGCAAGCGCTCTGGCATTCGCTGTATGTTCAGTCGCGTTCCTCAGAAGCGTGGCCCAAGCAAGGGGTAAGTTGCGACTGTTACTGTTCATGCCGCAGACCGACTGACTGTAAACATGGCAGATATATAAAGGAACTTGCCGACAGGATCAACAGCATCGAGGGCAAGTTGGAGATCCAGAGTGAGTCTTTGCCACCCGATATCATGGTACACTGGACATCTGCGGCAGCATCACTTAACTCGACACCAGGTCCTGCCGAGGACGCCAGCCGCAAGCGGCCATTCTCTAGCATTTCCAGTACCGACATATCTACTCCGGCACCACAGCGACAGACCACTTGGGGTACGGAGCATCGTCCTCTTCAGCCCATGACAACACCGTCGGATCGCTTTCAGTCCTCCCCTTTCGCTGCCAACGGCTTGGCTCCCCAACCCATGCCTATCAAGAATGATATGCCCTCTCGCACATCAGTTGCTCCAATGGATGGTCCTGTCACAGATATGCCCGATATTGACCAGGCTCGAGACGTTGACGACGAGGTGTTTAACGGGTTAGTGGCCCCGACAGTGCGACAGTCCCAGCTGCCATCAGCGATAAAACTAATCTTAGGACGTTAGATATCTCACTGTGATTCAGCCCTACCTCCCATTCTTGCCGAGCAGCAAGGCGCAAATCCAAGACTACTTGGCACAGTGTCCTGGACTTCTTCGCGAAGCGTTCGTCGAAGCGCTCTCAGGAACAATCTATTCTTTCCCTTCTTTTCAGTCAGGTAGCGCTGGAGATGTTCGCCTTGCCCATACCCTGCTGGTAGAATGGGAGGCCAGTGATTCCACATCGCGAACCCCTATTGCGAACCTGGTTTTTCTCCAAACCCTTCTTCTCATGATTATTGAGGCAGACAACCGACCCTTAGGCTCTATTGGTGCACCTAAGGAATCACTACTGGGTAGAGCAGTAGCGAGTGCCAATGCTTTAAAGCTGTATCAGGCCAAAGCGGACTTGTCCGAGGTCGAGGCCGGAACAGATACCGAGAGTCAGCTTCGCGTCAGAATATGGTGGTCACTTGTCATGCTTGACAGATGGAACGCAGTGGGTGCTGCAGTACCTTCATTGATTCGCGATGAGAGTGTCGTTGTATCAGCCAACCTGAAGGTGGTTGTTGGAGAGGTCCAGTATCTTCTGATCCGTAAGCTCAGGCCGCAACCAGACCGTCTTCTCAGGCGACAAGTGTATATTGACCATCGTTTCAGGTGCCTCTAAGTTTCTGTGCCGCGCATCGGTCATGATCACCAACTTTCAAGAACCCTTGGATTCGACCTTTGCTGATCGGATGGTGGGCTCTTTCATGGACGCCTGGGTGGAAGACTTCCGCGAGGACCTGCCAGCTCACATCGAGGCTGGCTCATATCCTGTCGTCCACCTGGTCTACTGGTACTGTCGCTTGCTGGCTTACCTGCTTAACCCCTCCGCCAAGTCAACGGATGCCCTATGGCCTAGTCAGGAGTTGATTAACCTGCTTGTCGGCCACTCACAACTCATCACACCTCTGCATCATCATTTCACTGTTCTTGCTGTACTAATACTGGTTGAGTTGGCAAAGGTGGAAAAGACAAAGGAGGATGCCACACGACTTCTTGGTGAATTCCGCGACTCATCACTGCCGGCTTCAGTTTTCGATGGCCTGGTCCGGGACAAGATTGCCGACCACCTTCGTCCATCCACTAGCGCCGCTGCGGCTTCGGCCCCATCAGCGATTGAGGCGGCTGCAAGCCAGGGTTTGCAACACTTAGCGGACTTGGCAACTCTCTCGGCAGCTGTGGACAAGACGGAGTGTGCCTATACGTACCGCACCGCGCCGAACTATGAAGACATGGGTTTCGACCCTCGACCGCTCCTTCTTGTCGGTTACCTCAATGTTGTCCGCGCAACTCAGCAAGCAGCTTAGGATGGCTCTCATCTTGCCTATGCTGGACACCAAGAGGAACAAAAACAGATGAAGCCAAGATTACAGCTGCAGAGGGTGCAGCTGTACAAAGCACGGGGGTCAAAGCTGCAAGCGCAACAGCAACAGCAAGAGGCGCAACAGAGTGATCAGCAACAAGAACAGTTACAATACCAACGACAGCAGCAGTTGAGTGAGCAACAGCTGGAGCAATGTGTTCTGGTACTGCGACATGCATTACAGACAGGACTCACTCATTGATTTCAGATGTATGGACCCGAACAGTAAACATTCACTACTGGCGTAACTCGGGATGATCGCAGCGGACATTCTGGCAAACTGCGGTTGGGCGCGCCTAGCCTGGCACGGGACTGCAAAAACTGGTGTAGCGAAAGTCTCGCTTCTGCATTATCCCGCCTGAATGGATTGGCAGGTTGTATTATAGTACGAAAGTGCACTGTATATATCTTTGCAGGCCTGACCCTTTTGTGGATATTTTCTCCTTAGATGTTTATTGTTGTCCCCCATAGTTCCGTCTCGAGCCTCGGGCCCTCAGCTCATTCTCCGCAAGAGTGATGTTATCACTTGTGAGGTGGTACAAGCTGCAGCCAAGCTATCTCACTTCACGCACGCGCCCTTAGACTCCAGTGAATGCCGCCGCTCCAATGAATGGCCTACTTTCCTATCAAGAGCCGTTTCTATTCTGTCCTCCTTGGCAGCCGTACTAGAGACAGCTTGGCTGGCTGGCCGAGAGTAGCTGTACAGCCCTCCGCATGCCCAACGCCATCGCCGCTCGGTAGATACATTCTTCACCGCCTTCTATCTTGACCCGTACATTAATGTCGAGGTTATCTTCGTTGGCCAGGCATTGTTTCATGTGGTATGGGCTACGGAATACAAGATAGCATCTCATGCAGTGAGTGTCTCGGAGGAAGGGTAGGCGCCATGGCTCGCGAATTTCTACTTAGACTTGGTTCTCGAGGAACCGGTATATGAGATCATAACCGCTGAAGGCCGTCGTCTGTTTATTTTGGTGATATGAAGAATACATTGGATGCTCAAGTAAATAAGCATCTAGTTCATTATATGGGCTTCTTCGCCGCCGATTTTGCTGGCCGCCAAAACGACTCAGAGATGCCCTTTCGCAAATGTAGACGGAACCGACATAGGTAGTTGCGTTTGGAAGGAGACCCCGACTTGAGTCTTACTATGTAGATAAGGGGGTATTCTCCTCCATCCCCTTCTTTCCCCGTTCCTGCCAACCGATCTGGTTGCATCTCCACATGAGAAGGGGTCCGAAAATACGCCGGCGATGACAACGATTGATGACACATCTATCACCGCTGCTATTTGTTCCCCCGATGGACCTCCTTTCTCATTCGGTGGCCATGGGGAAACCCCTTTGGAAGACCTTGAGTGGGACCGCTTTGATAACGTACCTTAGTTGAACCCACTGCCAATCCAGGTCAAGATGGGCCGGCTGCGCGCATAGGCATCTTAGGCTCAACTTGGTCAATTACCCCTCCTGGGTAAAAAGGGTTGATGATACAATGATGCGATGAAGCCGATGGTTGTGCAGCTCCTACCCAAGAAGAGGGGCCTGGGTTCATGAGCTCTAGGCTGTGCGAGCCGCCTACAGCTAGAGTAAAGTCGCGACCTACGCTTGCAGCTGATACGCCAAGCCCCAAGAGACCAATGAAGTATAGCACACCACAGCACATCTCAATTCAGCTCACAGCGATTGTCAGGTGAGTAAGATCCTCATGGTATCCTGCCCACCACCAAGGGTAATAAACTATGGTATTCTAAGTACAAGGCGGTCCCTCTTGAGGTCCATGGGTAATGAACGAGGCTTCCTCCCTAGGGAATCACGGTACAAGACACAACTCAATTGCTGTTGCAGCCTTTCCCTCTGGTTGGAGTCTCTGTCACCAAAGAAAGCTATTTACGTAGTTAGCTTTCATTACATTCTGTTACTGTGGCAGATTGCTTGGGACTTGTGCCCCTCACTCATTTCTTCTTCATCAATCGGCATCCACGTAGATTGTCTAGGTTCAGTCGAATTGCACTGGTTGACTTTAGCAATTGGAGAGAACAAGACGGACTTACAGTATTAAGCTCAAGTCTGGGCACAGTACATTGTTTTCCTTGCCACAACCACCCTCAAAGACACACTCAGACTTGTGACCTAGTACTGTAGGTCTTCCCAGGCTCGGTCACCTGACTGACTGTCTTACCGACTAGCTGCTTGAAGTCACTTGCGCTGCACATGAGACCGAAAACTGGCCTGTGGGTTGGAAACTCGATGAACGATTCCTTGCCCCCCCCCCCCCCCCCCCCGACAGAGGAGGGTAGTGGGTGTCAAGCTGGCGATAAAACAGTGTACCCTAACCTACCTATAGTGCCGGCTCAAAAGTCTGGTTACAGCAATAAGGACAGCCAATCAAAAGCTACAGTAAGTAATTTAGTTGGGACATAGGGTCTTTGGTGGCGCACTGTGAAGTGACCTCAAGCTATTAATGGGTCCTCTCTTCGACTCTTCCTTGGGTTATCCTTTTGCTGTAAACAGACTTTTGACCTGGTACTGTACATTGGTTTTCTTCCTTCGCACCCCGCCTTTTTGAAGTACACATTGGAGTCAGTCAGTAAAGAGGGTTCCAAAAGGCATAGTTGGAACTGATAAAAAAATTGAAACAAGTATACCAGAGCACATAGCCACGGAAGTGTCTCTGCGTCTCTATAATCATGGACCAGTCGATGTGGCTGGTACTCTCTAAAGCCTTTCGACGAGTCTATTCTCCTTAAGCCCTCTATGTGCCAGCTTATCCATGTGCTATGAAAAGAATGGATCGCTCTGAAAACGGGCAGGCTTCTTCAAGCTTCCAGCGTACCTACATAATTCGTCGTCTAACCAGCCAGCCGCTCTTCCTGGCTCATCCAATATGCTCCGCGCATGCCTGACGCCATGTCCAAATGATGATAGTAGTAGTAATGAGATGCAAGTCACTCTCTTTCGAGCCGCCGCCCCCTCTTTTTTCTTTTTTAAAATGCCACAGCCAAATATAACGTAGAGGAAAAAAAATTGGGTGCAAAAGCACACTCCAAGAAAAAGGTACAGAAAATAAATAAAAGCCGCGATACCTTGAAGATAGAGTAAAATAGCGTCTGCGTCGACTCCATGGATCAGGGTCCCGGGCGGGGCGTCCAACAAGTAGGCCACCGCAAATCTCTCTCCTATGCTCAAATCCTTGCGCCTGTGCTTGCCGTCTAATTCGATGGGCCGGATATCATGGGCGTACAAGCATTGAAGATTTTCCTTTACATAACAAAACGCCTTATTGCAATGTCCAAGAGTCAGCATGGAATTGCGGCAGACCATCGGGTGACTCCTGGTAAGTGGTGATGCCGTCATTGAACTGCTGGCCCCAAAATGCCGGGTCATCGTCAAAAGTGAGCGACCCGCCAGCAATAGGGCCGCCATCGTCAAACGAAGAGGGTGCCGTCGTGAATTTGGTGCTCGATGATTTGGCGAAGCTGTCGTAATCAATCGTGCTGAGATCCGCGCCAGTAGCAAGGTAACTTGCCGGATGGATGAAGCTGTTGCTCCCGGTACCGAAGCCGTCGTAATCGCTGTCACCCGCTATAAAGTTGTCCTCGACCTCGGAGACTTCACCAGACGTCGAGGTTGTGGCTGCCAGTGTAGGGGCCGGCTCGGAGCCGGTACCAAAATCGAACATGCCATTGAAGCTCTGCGCACCAGCCTGACTGTAGCTAGAGGGAGCAAACTTGTCCGTTCTGTCTGTGAGATCGATATGGCTCCAGTCTACAGACGCGGCGCTCAGTCCGGCGCTAAAGATGGGCGCATCGTGATCTGACATCCCGGAAGCTCCAAACAGGTCAAATGAGCCATTGGGTACATATGACGGGTACTCGATACCAGACAGATCGAGCGGTGGCAGCTGGTTGTTGAGCTGCTGGAAGCTAGAAGAGCCTCTCATCAGGGGAGAAGCAGCTTCGGACTTGACGAGTCGCTGTCGGCGAGCGGGCGCCGCACGGCCTGTTACAGGGTCCTTAAGAGGGTTGTCGCTGATGCGCTCGGGAGAGTGGCTACCCAGACTGCTGGTGCTGTGTAAAGAGTTGACTCGATTTAGTTGGTAGGGCCCGCATTTCTGGGAGGCCTTGTTATGTTTGTGAGCGGGCTTGTGATGGCCGTGCTCGTCGAAGGTCAGCATGCCATCGGAATGGACCGTGTTCGCACGACGTCTACGGATGGGCGGCTTCGGTCGAGGAGCGATGGCTTCCTTGTCGGAGTCGGATTCGGGGACGGTGTCAAGGGCTGGCTCCTTCTTGTGGCTGCAAGTGCAGCGACCACCGTGGTTGCAACAGCAAGTCTCTATCGGTGATGAAGGTTCGTGTTAGAGGGCTCATGGCCTTCCCGTCTCACCGAGGGGCATTTTCTTCGTCCAAGAGCAGGCTCACCTCTGTGGCCCTCAACCGTAGGCTGCAGGTGGGCGCATTTGCTTGTCTTCTCGCCGCAATCGCACTTGATGTGGGCAGAGCGCGACTTGCGCATTGAGCGACAATGCTGACATTGGGAGACGGGGCGGCCCTTTTTGTTGATATGTTGAAGGGGGCGATCTGCGGCGAGGCGGGTGGTTAGCTGCACATGTTTTGATTCACCAACAAGTTGGTCTCTTCCACCGGCTTAATAAACAAGAGCCACGTGCATGTAAATAAACCAATGAATTAAAAACGAAATAAAAAAAATAAAAAAAGAAGAAGAAGAACAAAAAAGGGTTGACGCTGCCCAAGCAGCCACAAACAACAATCGATAGGCTCGACGGCAGGCCCGCGTTGCACGAATGCATTTGAGTGACAAAGACCGGGAAGCAGAAGAACAAACCCACTTACCAGAGTGCTGGCAATTGCTAACACGGTGACCCCGAACGCAGGCCTCGCAGGCGTACTTCTCCCCGTCAATAATCATCTCGGGCAGTACGAAT